AAAAAATGCATTTATGGCACTTTAAATGCATTTTTTAGAGTTTAATTTAAATTTAAAAAAAATTAACACTAATTTTAGCATAAATTTTTTTATGAGAAAAGAAAAAATAAGTCGTTTTGATATTAAAAATGTTAAGATATTTAATAATAATTAAATGATAAATTTAATAAAGTTATGATTAACACTACATTTTACACAATTAATAATTATAATTAGACATCTTAATTTTATTTTTTTTAATTTTTTAATTAGACAATTGATAAAAGTAATAGAGAAAAGTAAAAATCAAAATGTTATGGCACAATACTTACCGTAACTCTTGTGAAATTATTTAAAGACTTTAATAATTTTTTTATATGTTAATTCATTAAATACAGTTTAATATTTTCATTATCATTTCTAGTTTTTTTAAGTGTCAAAACGTTCCAATTTTTTTCAGTCCGTAGGTAATACCATCAATTTCTCTTCTTTTTTTTTTTTTTCTTTTTTTTTACATAAAATAAAGTTTAAAAAGTATAATAAATATATTTTAACCTATTTATATATACTTGTACTACTTTTATATTCTGCTTATAATATTTACAATCTGTTGTTTTACAATCTGGTATGGGGCCTTTCTTCTTCTAAATACCTATGTTTTATATTTTAATACAATCCACTTTATAAAATAATTTTTTGAGATATTTATATAAATAAGTAAATAAAACCACAAATGCGTCATCCATTAGCTAACCCCTGAAACCATCTCACCGACCAATGATGCAAGTGGTATAGGTTGGAATTGGATTATGTAATTATATTAATTAAACCTATAATCATTTTTTTTTATTATAAACCTATATATAAATTTTGTTTTTGTAATGGATAAACCTATATATCAAACTGAAAGGTAGGACAGGAAATTGAGATTTTGATTTCAAATTTCAAATCATAATCGTTACTTACTGAAGCGTAATCTACCAATAAAAGAAAACATACACAACAGTTTTTTAATATTGGTTCGAACACCATTCTGCTACATTCACTACACAAAATGCTAGCTGCTAAGCCTGAATTGCAGTTTGGTACATGCACAATATACATATTTACACATGTTAACATGCTTAAAACACATGAAAGTCAGAAGTAAAAGTTACTTTCTTCCTAATTCTACATCTTCTAATCTGGAGATGTGATCAGAATCCAAGGACAGTGATGGAAATGTGTCACCGTTTTGTCCAGATGTTGGATTCACAACTTGAACCAACATGTCTGTCGTCTGCACATTTTGTTGGTTTGTAGACTGGGTGGCATTTCTATTGTTTTGTGGGTCAGTCATTGCGTCAAAATATTCATAAGGACTCCATCCTGTAATCAGGAATGAGAATTTAGTAGAGAACTAAATCATCATGCATCTGCGTAGATGAATTAATGCAAATTAGGTGGATGTTTTTGTTACCATCATTGTCATATGGGGATGGAAAGAACTGCCGATAGCAGAATGCTGCCACCACAAGGCCTGCAGGAAATCCATTAAAACTTATCAAAGCTAATACTGACTGAAAGTATATCAAACAAGAATCAATTATGTGCAAAAGCATACCAAGTAGAGCACCAGCAAACACGTCCTCCCAATGGTGCCAATAGTCATCAACCCGAGAAACACCAACAAGAGCTGCTGCCAGCAAAGGAAGAACAATGATGCAGAGTTTTGAAACATGTCCTTTGTGATCAAATGCTTTGATTTTTCCAGATAAGTAGAGTGATAGATAACCTAATCCTGCAAATGACCCTACAGAGGCAAGCCTAAACTGTATCAGACAAAAGGGCAGGAACTATAGTTTTATATATTCATGTATATGATATAGCAGGAACAACTTCTCACATGATGTATGGCCACTTGGGAAACTCTTATGTCCTTCCCTTATATCACTATCCTTACCATGACATATTACTCCACCAAATCGATCATACAACTGAGGCAGACAAAAATCAATGGGACAAAGTATTAGTAGTATTGAGCAAACAGAAAAAACAAAATCATGCAAAAGCTCAACATACTTCCTTTCCATCAGGAAAGCAACGCCAGAAGAAGTCTGGCCTAGGACGGCCCACTGCATCTTTAACAGCATCTGTAATGACGGCGGTAATCAACACAGAAAACAGGAGTCCTGCTCTTCAACATTGATGCAAGTCATTAGATCAAAAGTTAAAGAGGAAAGACGATTATAAAGGACTGCAAACTGCACACTGTGATTAATCGATTACCTATGATGCTGTGATGCAGATCATAGACATCTCTCCTTCGGAAATAAAAGAAAAGAAACACAAAGACTGGTAGCACAACTGCATACAACTGGTCAGCAGAAGAGAATGAAATTCAGAAATTGCATCTCTACACAAAACTTCACTCTTATGACATGAAATACCACATTAACTTACAGGTACAGCCCAGACTGGCACGGTGTTGTCTTTCATGGGATACTTGAGGTCTGTCATCATATCCTTTCCTATGAAGCGGTAGAATGGATGAATGATGAGTAGAATAACTTCTATCACTACAAGAAGCAGCAGTATCAACCAATCATACATGTGATCCCAAGCAACCGTGGCGCCATGTGTTTTGATGGTGTGTGCACCTAGCTCAACCTCCCTCATTCTCCCCTGCTGCTGAAGATGCTGAAAATGCAGAAGATGCAGAACAAAATTCAACTTCTAGGGTCTTATGCTTCAACCAAAATTATTATATATTCCTAATCTAAAAAGTTAGATGAGGACATAAAAGAAGATTAATCAGGGATGTCACAAGCATGTTTCATGTAGTGCCTACTAAATCAAGGAAGAGACAAGAACTATGTTGTTTCCTTCTCTTTTACTCATCTCTGCTAGTACATATGTGGAAAAATGTAGAACTTAGAACCTATATCCTAAAGCAATTATATTGACAGTCCATTTTCCCACCACCGCACCACCTAACACCCAGCCCCCCTTATCTGAAACATATATGTTGTTTAACTGCAATTATTATTATTTTTTTTTCTTTCTTCTTTTATTTTTCTTTTTGTAATAAATTAAAAATGAACTAAAGATGAAATTGTGAAAAGTAACAAGAATTACATCACAACAGAGTGTAATTCAAGGTCCAATGTTTCATTCAGCCCTGCCGGCCTCCCTTCCTTGTCCATGGACTACCCTGCAGGCGGCAGGCCTGCCCTGCGGTCCAGCGTCGACTACACCGCAACAGGTTGTTCAGATACTAAATCAAAGGCGGTTCTTTTTCTATAATCAACCATTCAAAGGTTGTGTCGTTTGTGTTTTTAATTTATTAATTAAAAAAATTTTGCAATTCCAAAATCGGATTTTAATATAATACATCTGAATGTTATGGACAGAATAAATACTAATAAATTATATATAGAAAGCAACTAACCTGAGTTCTTCTCCTCAAGTCCAAGAAAGTGAAAACCGAACCGATATTCCTCCAAGTCCAAGCCATAGATTCAAAACAGGGCAATTTACAGGAACCGAACCAACATGTATGGATCTCAAACAAGAAAAAAAGACGAAATTGCAGTTCTTGTTTTGGATAACACGAGTTAATTAAAACAAAGCAAACGTATGGAATCTTATCTCCGACGGGAAAAACGATAAAGCAGACATTTCCTTTGAAAAAGACAAAGGGGAAACAAAGAGAAAGCAAATCTTATTCTATATGATTGGAATCTGAAATGTGGATCAGTAGTCGTATAAATGTATGTTTCCGGAAAATACTGATATTTTCGAGGAAAATGGATGGGATGAGGAAGTGGGAAATTCCATTTTTCTTGGCTTCAATTATTCAGTTTGTGAAAGTGAGAGAGTTGGTGGGTGGTGGGTGATGGGTGCTGTTTAAGAAGAGACGGTTTGGAGCTGACGGTTGATGGTGAGATAACGGTCGAGTGGGTGCGTCTGGTGAGGATCCGGGCGCCGCGACTGTTGACTCCTACTGCGTCAGTGATTTTTGGATGCTTTTTGTGTTGGCTTGGTACTTGGAAGTGTCGGCAGGCGGCTACCTGGCTGAGGAAATTCCGCGATGGAAGAAAGGCTTAGTTTCATTGGTCAAAGCAGTTGTCATTTTGGTGATGGAAGTAACTTTATATGTTCTTTTGGGAGAAGATTTTCTGTTTAAGGAGAATTTTTTTTATCTTTTTTAAGCCTTAGCTACCCCTACTTCTTTAATCCACTCCAATTTGATTTTTTTTTTTATGTTGCTCGGCGGCAATCCTCTTTTATTTTTTATTTTATTTTACTTGATATCA